GTTTTTACCGTGCTTTTTTTAAATTTAGTGTGGTGTGCTCCTTTGAGCGGCATTTATGAAAACCCTTCACAATCCACACTGTCGTTATCACCCCCTACACCCTTGTGCTGGGAATGTTGACCAGAGTCTGTCATATTGCTAAGTATTTCTTCCTTGGGTCCTATCAAAGTCACCCTCTTTCCCCGTCGAATCCGTCTGCTATCTCCCTGGTACATGTATTTTACTCGATCCCTGCCCCCCCTATCTTTGCTATTCGAGGCGTAATTCGTCCATCCCCTGCGTCTGGGCGATTGATTAGCGGCTAAAGCCTTAGAGTAAGTCTTATGGTTCACCTTTGCTACATGGACCACGTCCCCTATAAAACCTACTGTCAACCAACTAGCTCCAATCGCCGCCTCGTCTATCCTGTCTCTATCCCTAATACCAAGTCCATGACTTGCCATGCCCTAGTTGCTTGTGTGCCAACCCACAAATGTTGTGGTACTGCTGCCTTTCATTAGGTTCAATGTTGAACCACAACGTCTGTGGGTTGGCATACAAGAGATTAGGGCATATTAAGTCATAGACTTGGTATTATAGATAGCAAGAGGTTAGAAACAGTGGAAGCTAGAACTAGTTTGACATTGAACCTAATCAAAGCCAGCAGTACCACAAGATTTCTCGATCGGCACTCAAGCAACTAGGGCATGACAAGTCATATACTTGGTATTAGGGATAGAGACAGGATAGACGAGGCGGCGATTGGAGCTAGTTGGCTGACATTAGGTTTTACAAGAGACGTGATCCATGTGACAAAGACATGATCATGAGACTTACTGCGAGGCTTTAGCCTCTAATCAATCATCCAGGTGCAGGGGGTGGACGAATTACGCCTCGAATAGTGCACATGGGGGGCAGGGGTCGAGTGAAATACATGTACCAGGGAGATAGAAGACGGATTCGACGGGGCAAGAATAAGACTTTGATAGGATCCAGGGAAGGACTACGTAACAATATGACAAACTCTGGTCAACATTCCCAGCACAAGGGTGAAGGGGGTGA